AAAATACAATAAAACATATAAGCTACATATTTAAAACACAATAAAACCATCCTATTTACACAGTGCTGAGCCTATATTTAATCTTCCAAGATGGGAACAACCACCCAAATTTGATGGCCAGCTCTCCTGGCAAAGCGGTCTCCTGCTACGCTGTTCTGCCAGGCCGGGCCAATCCCCCTTTAACAGGGCTGCTCACGACGCACTACCTCGTTGGTAGAATAGTGGCGGCGGCGGCTCCTACTCAAACGCCTGTCGGAACGTCTTACAGGCCCTGCGGAACTGCATAAGGTCCCACAGGGCCCAGGTCTCATCTGGTAGCTCATTCCACTAGGTAGGAGCCGCCACTGAAAATGCCCTGGCCCTAGTAAGGGCAAACTTGGTCTCTCGGGGACCTGGAACTTCCAGGAGATGGGAGTTCCCCGATCGTAGTGCTCTTGGGGGAACATACGGGAAGAGGTGGTCCTTCAGGTAAGCCGGACCCTGGCCATTCAGGGCTTTAAAGGGCTCTATATTGTATCCAGTCCTCCCCTTTATGTATAGAAAAAGGTCTTATAACTTCTGCCGGTACAATCCAAAGTGGTCTCTCATCCGAGAAGAACCTTCTGTATTTAGTCCATGTATCAGATAGTGTTCTTCTAATATAATGGTGTTTAAAAAGTCCATCCATTTTCGTTTTCTCATACCATAAATAGGCATGCCAACCAAATCTGCAGTCATGTCCTTCTAGCGCCAACAGTTTTTTATTATCCAACTTAATCCATTGTTGCAACCAAGTTAAACAAACCGCATCGTGATATAATCTAAAGTTTGGTAGCTAGAATCCGCCTCTCTCTTTAGCATCGCATAAAATCTTCATTTTAATCCTTGGTTTTCTCCCGGCCCATACAAAATTTCTCTTTGCCAAACTTTAAATATCTTCACCTCTCTCACTATTGGGATTGTCTGAAATAAGAACATCATTCGTGGCAAGACAGAGAGCAGCGTCTTTTACGACACCAAAGATGGCTAGAGCCAAAAACAAAGAAATGCAAGCAGCAATGGATACGATGGAAAAGAGAATGATGGACGCTGTCCAGGAACTGAAGGAATTGGTTGTATCAGAAGTAGCGGAGCTTTAAAAAGAAGTGGGAGAATTAAAACAGGGTTTCAAAATTTGTCACAAAAGTCTGCGGAAATGGAACAAAGAGTGGAAGATGTGAATTTAAAAATGGACACAGTGGTGAAAGAAAATAAACGGATAGATACAATGATGGAGTATAGAGCTATGCAAACTCACCTCAGATTGAGGGGGGTGGAAGAGAAAATGGATGATGATATTCGTGACAGAGTGATTAAAGCCTTTGCAACACATCTCAAAGAAGATGCTGATGATATAGAATGTAATTTTGATTTGATCTACAGAGTGAATTCAGCTTATGCGCAGCAGAAAAATCTGCTGAGAGATGTGATTGTACAGTTATTAACCAAACGGATGAAAGAAGCTATACTCAAGAAGCAATTTACTGATCCTTTGGAAATGGATGGGAAGAAGATAATTGTAATGAAAGAGCTCCCCAGAGTAATTATTCAAGACAGAAAGAAATTCAAGAAGCTTACAGACAAACTGAGACAGTTGAGCATAAGATATAGGTGGGAGATATCACAAGGATTGAGTTTCAATTTTCAAAGCCAAAGACATCTGATCAAGACAACAGAGCAAATGCTCAGATTTTTGCATGATAACGATAAAGACTTTGGAGATAAATAATTGGAGATCATGATGGATTACAAATTAATATCGAGGAATGTAAATGGACTTAATTCACCTTGTAAAAGAAAAATTGTAAAATATTGGCTGGCAAAACAAAAATGCAATGTTATTTGCTTACAAGAAACTCACATTCAAAGACAAGACTTTAAATATTTGGTCGCCAAGCAATTGGGAGAAGAGTTTTATTCACTGGCTGGGAAGAAAAATAGGGGGACTGTGATTTATATTAAAAAAGAACTTGAACCCAAAGAAATTTTTAAAGACAAAGAAGGAAGATATATTGCGGTGGAAATCAATATGCACCAAAAGAGAACTTCAATTGTAAACGTTTATGCCCCCAATGGAGCGAAGGAGAAATTTTTTGAAGAGTTGACTCAGGAATTGGATCAGGTGACCTATGAACAAATTGTATTAATGGGAGACTTTAATGGTACGATCAATAACAAATTGGATAGAAAAACAAAAAAGCCAGATGAAAAAACAGGGAAGTTACCTAAAATATTTTTTAATTTGGTCAAGCAAGAGAAATTGGAAGATCTATGGAGGAAATGGAATCCTACAACCAAAGACTTTACGTTTTATTCAAATAGACATGATTCTTTCTCAAGGATTGATATGATTTGGACAACTGGTAATTTAGCTTTAAAAACAAAGAAAGTAGAAATACTGCCGAAAGTGAACTCAGACCATAATGCAATTTTATGGGTATCAAAGGAAGGAAGGAAGAAACCTAGATGGCGATTGAATGAAGACTTGTTGGACCAGCAGGGTCTGGGCTTTCAAAGGACTATGTGTTTCCTGAGGAATAAGGGATCAGGCTTCTGGGATAAACTTAAATAAAAAGGATTTATTTGAAGAACAGAGTAAGAAGTTGTTTAAACTGTCACTGTTTGGGAAATAGGTATTTGTAAGTAATTAGGTCAACTGTATCACACTCTTTGTAACTTTCTCTTTTTACTTCAACTTTTCATAACACAAGAAGGTCTCTCCTTCAGACCTCAGAATGAACTGCTCATCAACTGTCTTATTCAGCGCTAAGACACAGAACTTAACAACCCACACAGGGAAGCTTCTTCTTATAACTGTTTCAACACAGAACTTCTGCTTCTCTCTCAGAAGTCAGAACTTAAAAACCTATCAGTTGCTTTCACACAGCACTCTCTTCTGACTGCCTAACTGTTTAACTGTAATCACTCTTAACAGTCACTCCTGATAGACATACAAATCCTCCACACAGCATCCATTCCAAAACCCCTCCCCCTCTCTGTCACTCACCAATCATACCATTTGCCTGCTTCCAGCACCCTAGTCTGTCATACATCCATACAAACCAAACTTTTAAAGACACACACACAAATAAACATGAAATCACCACAAGCAGTAATGAGAGGACTATTAATATCCCTGAACAGCAGAGAAAAGAAAAAGAGACTGGAGCAGCAAAATAAGATTTTGGAAAAAATTAGCGTAAAGGAAAAAGAGTTAAAGAAAAGACCGGGGAAAAAGAAAATAATTAAAGAGATTCAAATTTTACAAGAACAACTGAACACATTAATGAATCAAGAAATTTATTGGAATTTGAAAACGTTACAACAAAAGTCTTTTGAAGGGGCAAATAAACTGGGAAAATATTTGGCGTGGCAATTGAAGAAAAGGTGAGAAAATAAAACAATTAGCAGAATAATAGAAGGAGAAAGAGAAATTGTGGACAGTAATGGAATTAAGAGAGCATTCTATAAATACTATGCAAACCTTTTTGGAAAGAAGATAATAGACAAAGATAAAATTAAGAATTATTTGGACAAAATAAAGATGCCAAAAATATTGGAGAACATGAAGGTAATGTTAAATAACCCAATAACAAAAGAAGAAATCTATATGGCTATTCAGGAGGCGAAGTTGGGAAAAGCTCCAGGACCAGATGACTTTACGGCAAAGTTTTATAAGAAATTCAAAGAGGAGCCAGTCCCAATCTTTGAGCTCTTGACAAACGAAATAAGGGAGAGAAAGAAAATACCAGAATCATGGAAAGAAGCTACAGTTTCACTTATTCCTAAAGAAGCGCAAGATTTAACAGATGTGAAAAATTATAGACCAAAATCTCTTTTGAATAATGATCACTATATCTAATAGCCAAGTGGCCCCGTCTGTGCGGATCGCTATATCCGCACTTGGGGGGCAGGGGGAGGTTTGTGCACACGTGGGGCAATCCCCACGTGTGCACAAAAATCTAAAAACTGGACAAAAATATCGGGGGGATACTTAAATCCCCCCGAAACTCACAGAACGTCCCCTGCGCATGCGCAGGGAACGCTCTGCTGCCGGCCTTGCCCCCGCTGCTTCGGAGCCGGCGGCCCGGCCAGCCATGCAGCCGGCCGGGACCCAGAGAGGCCTGGGCGGCTGCAAGCCACCCAGCCTCGCTTCAGAGGGGAGGGGAGGGGAGGGGGAAGAGACGAGCGAGGCCCAGCAGCAGGAGCCGCCGGGGCTCGCTTCAGATGGGAGGGGGAGGGGGAAGAGACGAGCGAGGCCCGGTGGCTGCAGCCGCCGGAGCTCGCAATGGAGGGGAGGGGGAGGGGGGAAGAGACGAGCGAGGCCCGGCAGCTACGGCCGCCGGGGCTCGCAACGGAGAGAAGGGGAGGGAGAAGAGACGAGCGAGGCCCGCCGGGGCTCGCAACGGGGAAGGGGGGGGGGGAAGAGACGAGCAACATTTTGTTGCGGGTCCACTCTTGTTATAAGCTATTTGCAAAAATCATTTCAGAGAAACATTGACCTTTATAAGAATAACTATGACAAACTGTGGCCTACGATACAAGAAGACATTAAAAAATGGAATACTTTGAACTTGTCACTTTTGGGGAGAATTTCGGTGGTTAAAATGAATATTTACTTCAAGGTTGAGGCTGTGTAGCGAATCAAAATAATCTAATCAATTGAGACAGAAAAACAGGAAGAATTCTTTTAGCATCTTATAAACTAATAAATTTATTGTAACCTTCCTTGGGACAGAGTCTGCTTTTTCAGACACGTGAAGGGTAAAGGGGAGAATTTTTAAAATAAAAAGTGATGCAAAAAATAAGAAATACAAGAAGTAGTCAGCATAGCACCTTATACATTATTATACCTAATGTGAAAATCACTATGCAGAGCATTATAATACAGAACCTAGTCAAATTAATAAAAGATTTAATCAACAAGTATGCAGCTACTGGTGATGAGCAGGCATTATCATGTTGAGAAAGCAAAACTCATTTTATTCAGGTACAACATCAATATAATCTCCATCTTCAGTGTCTGGAAACAAAAAGATAAGACAACTGATTATTTTTATGATTCTGAAATCAAGCAAGTAGTCTCAAATGAGATGATGTGACGGGTTGTATTAAATCAATTACTGTTGAAAGGTACTGTGTACTGCAGAATGAAAATGCAGATAGAACAAAGAGGCTGAAACAACTTAGTAAGGAGTCACCTTGTGTACTGAAACCTTAATGGTTTAATCTCTGCAAATCCCTGTTAGAAGATGGTGACTTGCACTGGAGAAGCAGCAGGAGGTATTTTTAGACCCTATCCCATCTGTTGCTTCTCCACTGCAATATCTTTTTCTGGCACTGCTTTGCAGTGAAGTAGCCATTGAGGTTTTAGTGCACACGGTGACTGCATAAGGCATAAGTTCTAACCAAGGTCTTTATACCCTTGCAATACCAATTTACACAGGCATAGATGGCTTTAAAAGGGGATTCGAGCAATCCCCAGGCTTCCAGACTCTGAGGGTAGCCAAGGTCCCATGCTCAGTGTCCATTAGCCAAAGCAGCAGCTTATGTGGTACCTATAAGGCAAACAAGATGAGTCACAGCTGGGAAGTGGGGGGGTGGCAACAGCTTCCTACAGGAATTCCTCAGATCCCCATTGGGGTTCCAGAGGTGCGAGCCACCAAAGGACTTGCTCCAGGATGAGCCAGGCCCTTCATAAAGCAAAGGGAAGTTGGCTGAGAAAGAGATCAGAGAGGACATACTAGCTTTGGCTCCTGAGGTTGAGCGGAGTAGGCTCAGGAGAGAGGTGAAGAACCAGAGTGATGGAAAGCTTCCCTCTCAGTCTGAGGCCTGTGGGCAGGTAAAACACTGACATCATCTGGCATGGATCTGCCAGATGTGGGCAGGTCTTCTACAGGATTAGATTAATGGAAGATAGGTCTTTCAGTGGCTACCAGCCATGGTGACTGAAGGGAATCTCCATGTTCAGAGGCAGTAAACTTCTGAATACCAGTGGTAGGAGGCAACATCAGGGGAAGAAGAGATTGGATTTATACACCGCCCTTCACTACCCAAAGGTGTCTCAGAGCGGCTTACAAACTCCTTTCCCTTCCCCTCCCCACAACAGACAGCCTGTGAGGTAGGTGGGGCTGAGAGAGCTCTTGACAAAAACTGCTCTTTTTCAAGGACAGCTCTTATCAGAACTATGGCTTGCCCAAGGTCATCCAGCTAGGGGAAAGTGGAGGAGTGGGGAATCAAACCCAGTTCTCCCAGATTAGAGTCCGCGCACTTAACCACTACACCAAACCGGCCTTTGCCTCTGTTCTCTGTTGTTGGGCCTCCAGAGTAACTGGCTGGCCACTGTGTGAAACAAGATGCTGGACTAGATGGACCACTTGTCTGATCCAACAGGTCTCTTAGGTGCTTAATAAAGAAGCCAGTCAAGTGAAGAAATATAGTCTTGCTTGCCAGTTTTCCACTACTAAAATGTTCCACTACCAAAATCGTTGTTTACATTATCCAGCAGAAACTCATTAGCATATATGCCACACCCCTGACAACACAGCTCATTATATTAGGCCACACCCCCATGCTACCAGAAGTGTGGTCATCCAGCCACACCCATCTTTTGCTTCTTATTCTGTTTACCTTGTTTGTTGCCAAAACCCAGGGCTTTTTTTGTAGCAGGAACTCCTTTGCATGCTAGGCCACACACCCCTAATGTAGCCAATCCTAATGAGTTTCTGCTGTTGGGTGTGTCTTATTATGCTAATGAGTTCCTGCTGGGTGTGACCAATTCAGAAGCCAGCCAGAACTCCGTTCCTGTGCGTTCCTGCCCAAAAATAGCTCTCACATTGTCCATATGAATTTCAGCTCTGTGTGCACCTACTCATTGTAGCTCTTAGGAGAAAGTATTCCAGAATTGTATAAAAACATTTCTGATGGTTTACACTCTCTCTTTTTTACATCTCTCACACCTGAGAGGGATTGATTATAAACATGAAGTAAGTGCCTTTAGTTGCTTGCTCAGGGGTCATTTCGTAGAAAAAGAGCTAGGGGAACTCATTAGCATATGCCACACCCCCTGACATCAGGGGCCCGGCGGTGGACCTGTAAGGCCAGCGGGAGTGCGAGGAAGCCCCGCCAAGGCCTTCCCTGGCCCCAGGCAGGCAGGGGTGGGGAGAGGCGGGGAGGAAGCAATTTACCCTCCCTCTTCTCCTGCCTCCTCCTGGCTGAATGAGGGCTGGAAGCGGGGCGGCCGGAAGCAGGGGGCGGGGCTTCATCATGTGCCCCGCCCCCCTGCACCTCACCCAGGGGAACTGCGTTCCCCCGCGTTCCCCCCCGAAATGACCTCTGTGCTTGCTGCTTACACTTAATCTGACATCAGAATTGAGATATAGCCTACCAAGATTAAGCTGCATTAATAAAATTAGCCATAAGAGAGTTAACTACACTGAGGCTCTCAGTACCTTTCATAGACCTTGTTGGCTTCACATCCTTTAATGAAAGATGCTGGTGAATGAAATGGACTCTATACAAAGCATGTGAGCTAATAATGAGCTATTGACCCAGGCACTATTTTCCCATATTAAACCTCTATTTTGCATTCCGGCAATCTTGAACATTCCCTAGTTTCTTCTTTTTTCTAGTTTTGACATTACTGTTCTTGGGATCACAAATCTGTTTCCTTAATTTATGCTTCATTCTGCCTGGATTTACCTAGGCCATGTTTGGCTGGTGGTTATCTACTTGACTCACAAGTGTCTTGAGAGTTAGAAAGGGGAACCAGAGAAAGGACTGAAGGCTGTGAATGAAGTGCATGGAAGTATCTCGTTTTGTTCCCCAAAATAGAGAACACGGTCTTCTTACTAACTGAAGAACATTGATCACTCTTCCAGTCTGTCTCACTTGTCCCTACAGGGTAGAATGATTTAAATCAAGCTACTCTAAATCATTGCTTTAAATTAAGTTTCCCATTTTGAAATGCATGTATTTCCTAGAAAAGCAGGCATAATGTTTATAACAACTACAACTTACTGATCCAGTGGAAAGCTCACAATAATAAATATGACATATTATTATACAATTAGATATAAAATAAAAGACTGCCAGTGTGGTGTAATGATTAGAGTGTTGGTCTATGATAGAGACCAGGTTTAAATCCCCACTCTGCCATGCAGGCTCACTGGGTGTCCTTGGACCATCCACATACTCTAAGCCTAACTTACCTCACAGGGTGCTGGTCGTGTGGATAAAATGGAGGGGGATAGAATGATGTTGTAAGCCACTTTGGGTCCCCATTGAAGAGAAAAGTGGGGTTATAAATAAATAATTTACAGTGTTTAGTGCTTATTTTCCACATTATAGAACTAGATATGGTTCCCCATAGAAAAACAGCATAACTCAATCAGAAAGATGGTCATGATTAAGTTTTAAGAAATAAATATACCTATTAACATGTTGGTTTTTACTAAAATGAGAAAAATGTTAGCTCAGGTTAGCATAAAGAGAGGCAATAGCTGCATTTATACTTTTTGCAATATGGCTTCCCCCAAAATCCTTGACTTTTATTCATTCTCAAACCTTTCCCTTTACTTTACTATATTTACTATAAAGATAGAAGTTTGTAGAAATATATGTTCTTAAATATGTATAAAGGTGTTTTGGTTGGATTAGCCTGCACAGATAATACAGTTTCTTCCTTCATGGGCTGGTCTGCAGTGAGTTACTTTTTTAAAGCCCACAAATGCCTCTATTTTTGGTCCATATAGTCTTGTTTCTAGCTTTTTACAAGGTGGAATGCTTTTCTCAACTTCTTCCTGCCTCAGATATCTACCAAGAAGGCATATTTTAAAGACAAACAAAGTCTACAAAAAGGTTGTTTCCCAGTTAAAGAAAGCTTAGTTGTTTGATTAAGGCACTGATTTAATTACATGAATTAGGGTATTAATAAAATATTCAGAACTATTATTTTGTTAATAGTTTTTATTAAACTATTATTTTATTATACTATTTTATTAAAGGGAAAGAAATAGTTTTGTTGATTTATTTTTAGATTTTTTAGATTATACATTCACATTTCACAAGTACTATCACAGAAGTGGTATTGCTTCTGGAGTGAAAGAGAGAAAGGATTGTGTGTTCTAAAATAGCACCAGTAACTTGGGGTTTAGTGAGTACTTAAACTGAGAAAAAATAAATCTGCTGTGTGATTGACATTTTATATACAATATTTAACATTGATTATTCAGCAGAATTTTGTAGCTCTCCTTTTTGAGTTTTTTCTGCCTTTTTTGCATATGATGTAATGTATGATGGGGTGCTTTTTAAGCATTTTCTCTGAAAATTGTTGAGGCACATCTTCATTTTCCTCCTTCCTCGAAAGTCAGTTTTATTTATAAATAAGCATTCATTACAAGCTTGTTTGTTAATGGGGGAGTGAATCCCATGATATCTCCTGTCCAGAGTAATCTTATTCACTTGCCATTATGTATATCCTTACCAACATAATCTCTTGGATTATGGCTATGCTGAGGTCCCTGGTGGAATGTAGATCTATTTACTGGATAGCACAGATGGATTACTAGTCCTTGATTGGGTTTTTCGTAGTTAGCAACTAAATCCTTTAAAGTTCTGAAGTCTTGTCTTGGGCCTCTTTCAGAAGTCTGTAAAATAATGTGAACAATATGTGAATTGCTGCAAAATTAAAATTTAATTCTGAATGTATGAATAGCAAATGTATTTGAGCCAAAGAGTATTGACTGGTGAAATATTATTTTCAGTGAAACTCATTAATACAGCATTATGAATACAAGACTATAATGAACACAGCTTTTAGATATTTTCAGGGATGTAATGGAGTTGGATCTATAGTAAATGGATAATGTGAGCATTAAGACTGAATGGATAGCAAAAGAATTCTTAAAGTAGCCAGTTAATTTTAATAATTAAAGGAAGAAGTTGTATAATATGGAGTACAAATAGAACTCTGTTATGTTGGGGGGGGGATAGGTTAAGTATAAATTAGCAAGAAAATATTTCTTCAATTTGGCTTTATCTAAAGACATTTTCTTACCTGAATCATATAATGTCCATTACGTTTCCTGAATATTCTGTAAGTATAGACAAGCTGTTCATAGCTGAAATTAAAAAGTAAAAAAGGAAAATCATTAATTTTAAATGTTAGGAAGCTGATGTATGCTGAATAATCATATATCTTTAGGTTTATATGCTGTGTCAAAAATAATTATTTGAGAGCTACAGTGAGAAATGACCATGTGAGTTGCCAAGTAGTTGCTTCCTACCTGTTGTCACATAATACTAGAAGCTGCCCATGGTAGATTCCTGGCTACTCACATTTACCCACATTTACAATTACTGTGCAGTCCTAAGTAGAGTTGGACTCTGGGTGTAAATTCTTAGTATAGCACAGCTATGTTTGTAATTTACTAGAAATTAATTATCGTATGGCATTGTGTGTGGTATAGCCAGGAGATCTGAAGCCTTAAGTTCTAACTCTTTTAGTGAGCTAGAGTTATGGGGAGGGGACTGAGAGAGTTCTGAGAGCTGTGACTGACCCATGGTCACCCAGCTGGCTTCATGTGGAGGAGTACGGAATTGAACCCAGTTCTCCGGATTAGAGTCTGCTGGTTCTCAGTTTACTAGAATTAGATTCCCACATAGTAACCTAGTCACAAAATCTGTTACAGTAATGGCAGGCTGGTAACGATCCTTACTGCTTTTTTTTTGGGGGGGGGTGTAGCAGCTAAGATCTTCATTGATATCTAAGGAAACAGATCTCTAATGCAAATAGTACTATTCTTTTGTACAAGTGCCTAGTCAACTGTTGAAAGTTGTCTTCTGTCTTGAAAACAATGTGAGAAACAAAAAAAAATTCTTGCAATTTAGTATAAAGTGTTTTAGGAAATTAGAACATCGGATACAACCAGTTCCTCTGAAGAAGATTCCTCATCAGAATTGGGAGAAGTTGCACCCAAATTACCCAAAGGCAAAACTGACTTTGATAAAGATAAAAAGAAGGGAAGAAGAAACAAGAAGAGAATGTAACTGAAACATAATACTTGAAGAGATAATTATCTTGCTTACTTGCTTAGAGCAAATACTTATACTTTAAGCTTTTACTGATTGTTATAAACTGAAAAGAAGCTTTACTCATGTATGACTTAATATGAGAAACTTGAATAAGCGTTTATTATCAGCAACATATATGCCTTTAGTAATGCTATCCTATCACCTGTAGTCGGTTAGTGTTTACCCACCCCTTATTTCTATGTAGTGTATAGTATAAAAGCAACAAACAATTTTTGTATATGTATATGTGTGTGTGTGTGTGTGTGTGTATGAATTAAATTAGAACATGTATTTGGAAAAGCCAGAGTTTAGTAGAGCAGAAACTAATGGTAGCTGTGAATAACGGAGCTTTAGATAAAAGAATTTGCCTTATACTGAATGAGACTATTGTTCTATTGATACCAACATTTACCTTAATTGACATGGTCCACAGGAGTAATTCAAATATGGGAACTGGCTTCACTGTGAAATCACTATTCTGTATATGGTTCTATACATCCAAAGGGTGCTTATCCAGTACTACACAATGCCCTTGTGAAGCGATGTTATGGTATTGTATGATGGGGTTTGAATCAAAACAGATTGCTAATTACAGAACATTTTGATTTTGATTTTTTGACCAATCTTTCTGGTTAGAAAATTTCAATACCATTTGCAAGGATTCTGGAAGTAAATTGTAGATTATTAACATTTGTGTGAAAGTGAACTTTTTTGTATATATATTTACTACATATTTATGTACTGATTATTATCCCACCTTTTAATCTGGGTCAAACCCACAGAACAGTGTGCAGTACAAATTGAATCTGGGGGGAAATTTAGAATTTTCCAAAAATGTTGATAGTGCTCCCATCCCCAAAAAATCGTACAACAGGGGGGGAAATGGTCCAGATGTATAAGCCCTTTGAAATCAGTGGTGCTTATTTTATCCCTGATTCATTGTCATTAAGACATGTGTGGAAGTAACTCCAGTTAAACCAGTGGGAATTGCTTCAAAGCAAATGTGCCTAAGATTCCTGTAGCTCAATTTCTCTAGTTTCTTTCCAAAAGACAGTTTAAAGAAAAAGGAAAATACTTACAGCACACAAAGGCACAAGACTCCTGGTATGCTCTGGCTGTCTCGTAATAAAAAACATCCATTCTTTCCTTTTTGGATCAGTACTTCTTCACAACTTTCTTTTGTTATATTTCCATGAAAATATGGCAGCTCCATTTGCCTGTAAAAATTTGTTTTACAGATTAATTCTTAAAATCTGCCTGTTCTTTACTGAACTGAAACCAAACTGGTAAGGAAAGGATGTTGAAATTGACACAATGTTATGTCGGTTTAACAACTTGGTTGTTTTTCATCTTTTTGAAAAGGTTTAGACACCCACGAGACAGCACAGGAAGCACAAACTGATAAATGGTTTAGTCATTTGCAGGTATCTTTAAATAAAAGTCTACAGATTTGCATTATAAGCAAAGAATACCATTTTGCATTGTCTGAGAAAGCGGAGGTGGGGGTTTAGCCCAACCTAGTTTACGTATTATAACTGATTTAGAAGTTCAGCCAGTGTGATTCAGACATTCTTTGTATACAGCACTTGGCTGCACACCTGATGGGTATATACAAGGATCTGCCTGGGTTGTATAAACCAAGCCAAATAGAAGGCTTTAAGAATCCATTCATGTGCACATACACAAGTGTTTGGTACTAACAAAGAGAATGACACTATCATCTCTTTGGTGTCCCAATGCAATACTGTGTGTTGGATAGAGGAATACCACCAAGGGAACTTCCAATCAGTGTTATGTGTGTGTAATGTACTAAATCCTTGTAGATTCACCCATGAAAATCAATGGTGTATGATTATCCTTGCTCTATTATAGTAATAAGCTCAGGATATGTTAAGCTAGGTCTTGGGAAATAATATTCTAACAGCTTTTAAGTTCCCCTTGGTAAAATAGTAATATTAGCCTACCTCACCAGGATGTTGTAGGATCAAAAAATGCTTGAATGTGTTTTTCATGTTAAAGAGATTATAAATGTGAGTGTCATAAGATTTGGGATGGGCAGCAATTTTGTCCTCATCCCCTTCTGAATATATAGAGCCCTTTGAAGTAGTCTGTTTCTCTTTATAAAACCAAGACTGCTTTTATTTTGATTTTAACCTGCTCTATATCTGAAGAAGTAAAATTTAAAAAGAACTGGCACTAAAACTAAGCTTTATAAATATACCTTTAAAATAACACTATTTTATTTAAAACATTTTTATGCTGCCTTTCCACCAGATCAGGGTCCCCAAGACGACAAACATAAAAACATTAAAACATTTTAACAATTAAAAAAAACATTTTAAATGATAAAAATAATTCAATAAAAACACATAAACGAACACCAGAATCAGGGAGGAGGGACAGCAACCATTATTCCAAGTGAAACAAGTCTTGACTAAGACATCAGTCTTAAGTATCACGCTCATGGAAGCAGTTACCCATGAATGAGAAAGCAAGGACTTAGTGATACAAGTAGTATTAGATTGTGAAATTGGATACTCACAAGATGTCACTGTAACACAGGAAATTTGTTATGTCAGGAGAACCACCCATTCTTTCATTCATGACTACTTATTCTGTATTCTAATAGCCAAGTCAGCCAGATCTGAGGTTCCAGTCTGGTGACTGGAGCCGTAAATGGACAATACAGATATTTTGAGAAACCTGAAGCGCACCCCAGGTTTGCAGAAAAATCTGAAATTGTATAAATAAATAATGGGAAGTTCATAAAACCCCAAAATGATAAAAGGAGCTCCTGTAGCTTTAAAAAAGAATACCCTCAGTGGCCGTTGCTAGGCAACCACAACAGGCTTGGTTTTTGTCAGTAAAAGGCAGGGAAAGGGGACAAGACCCTTTCCAGGACTGTTTAGCCTTTGAAGGAAGACTCATCAGGGCCAAGCCTGGCAGGAAAACTGGGAGTCGTGATACTACACAGTTTCCATGACTCACCTAGATGAGGCTGCTTCCTAATGTTGAAGAGCAGCCACTCCAGTGGGGTGTAGTGGTTAGAGTTTCAGACTGGGTCCTTAAATCCCCATTCTGCCTTGGAAACTCACTGGGTGACCCTGGGCCAGTTACTCATTCTCAGCATAATTTACCTGACAGGCAGGGCCAGGAGCGACCATTAAGAGCATCGGGATACTTCTCCCCCCCCCCTCCAAGCCAGCCTATCCTGTGACAGAAGGCAAGGTAGAGGAGACAGAGCCGAGCCTTCCAGAGCTCAGTGTGAGAGGCAAAATAGGGTGGTGCCTGGCTCAGCCCATGTGAGGCAAGGCAGATGCTGGCACCCAGCCAAGATCCTTATAATGCAAGGCAGACGCTGGTGCCCAGCCAAGTTTAGGCAGATGGTGGCACCCAGGCTGAGCCTCACACACAACAAAGAAAAGGAGACAGCAGCCCCAGTCTGGCTGAGGCCCCCCCCCCATGAGGCAAGAAAGAGGATTGCGCCTGATTTGGCCAAGCCCCTGTGCAAGGCAAAGGGGTGGCACCAAGCCCTGGCCTGTTTGAGCCCTGCACAAGCCAAGGCAAGTTAGAGGATGGCTCCCAGCCAAGCCCCCTGTGAAGCAAGGCAGAGGCTGGTACCCGGCTGAGCGTGCAGGATGAGGCAAGGAAGAGGGCAGTACCTGGCACAGCCCCACACAAGAGGTGAGACGGAGGAGGTGGCAGTGCCTGGCTCATTCTGTGAAAGGCAGATGCTCTTGCCCAGCCTGGCCAGGCCCCACACAAGGTGAGGCAGTTGGCAATGCCCAGTCACGTCCCACAGGTGGTGAGAGACGGAGGGCAGTGCCAGCTGAAGGAGGCAGTACCTGGCTGTACAAGACACTGATAAAGGTAGTTAGATGGGAAGGAGAGAAGAAAGCAGAGAAGGCTGATGCTATGGTGGTTGTCTTGTAAGAAAAGGGATGTTGAAACAGAGGAAAATGAATACCCTCCATAAGCCCTTGCAGGTACCTCCAGACAACTGGGCCTGCCCTGACAACTGGCACTATGTAACTGGGCCATAGTTTTCCTGGCTAAAGGGTGCCAGGGGTTGGGAAGTGTGGACAACAGAAGATGGGGAGGAAATAAAGGTAAATTAGCTCTTGGATGGGAAAGAGACAGATGGGAAGGTGAGAAAGAGGCAGGAAATGGGGGAGAGGTTGTGGGGAATTTCAAGGAGAGGAAATAGTGGGGGAGAAGGCACTTCACCCCACAAGTCCTTGCAGGTTTCTGCTTGTCATCTATAATAGTTACAATTTCTGGATTTTCTTCCCAAACATGTTAGAAGGCAGGAATAACTTCCTTTGAATAAATGAAAGGAAAACAATTACAATAAACTGTATTTGAGGAACCTTTGATTTCTGGCTTTGGAGAAGTCAGCCAGGGGAGCTACAAAACATTTTAGTAAATAACATCTGGGCCACATTTCTATACCTTTTCCCACCGTTTGGAGGTCATCTTGCTTACACTGTCTCAGTAATGAGATACTTATAGAATAGGGAAGGGGCTATGGCCTGAGTGCATGTTGGAATCTGTGTGTATGCACTCTGCTAACATGATTGGTATGATTTGACAGCATTCAGCAGTTACCTGGGGATAAGAAGGTGCTTAAAGTCCATCCCCTTAAACCCTGAAACTGGTGTTAAGCACCATCAAAAATGATTGTGTGGTCCAGTTGTTGCCAAGCAGCCACTTCAAATGACATTAATATAGACTCTTAAATATGACTGCCTTGTGAACTGTGAAAAGAGTGTGTCAGGGCAATGGACAATGCTGTAGCCCAAAAACAGTGCCTTTATACTGGACTAAAGGGATGTGCTTTAGCCAAGGGGAGCCTAAGCTAGATCCCAAACCAGACATGGACTCCTGGACTACAAGAAGCGTCTTGCTCCTGCATCTCCAGCAGCACAGTGCAGACCAGCAGCCCTGACCTCCATACATGCAGAAACAGCAGCAGATCACAGAGGGAAGCCATGCTCTGCAAAAAGGACAAGACGTTCCTGCACAGATGCCATGAATACCTCCCTTCTTCATCATGCACGCATTCCCACCTCTACATATAGTAACATCAAAAGAAGCATACATTCCTTCCAGACTAAAATAAAAGGATGCACCGGATGACGACAGTAGCAAGCCATCAAGTCTTCCTGCTGCCCTTCAAGATAACACAGCTGTCAAGCATCTGGTCGTTAATCCAAAGTACCAGTCCTGCAACCTGATTGGTTCTCTTCCTTTTTTCCTTTGTCTTTCCCATTTTCATAAGAGGGGTTACTCCTAGCCAAGCCATCACCTGCAATTGCCCAACCATTAATCCCTTTTCTGATCTATTCATAGGTTAAATTTTTAGTTCATATTTCCTGGGGACTATGTGACAACAGGCAACTGCCTCAGGTCACATTTTAGGAATAAAAAGAGAGCATCCAGCCGCTGCTCTCTCTCTTGCTTTTATCTTTCCTAAACCCACTCTATCTTGCTTTTTCCGTTCTTAGCACTGTTTGGAACTTTCCACATGTATTGCTTGTCAACTCACGACCCCTTCCCATATTTTTATCTTTTTTTTTGCTGCCGAGTCAACTTGCTGAGTGATGAATTTTTAAAACCTAGCCTGAAAGGTTCATGTCTCATACTATCATCAAGTGGTTCTCACTAATAACTTTTCAGTTCCAATACAGCACATGCTGTAGTTTTTTTGTAGGGAAACCAGTGCAACGTCCTGGACAGTGTTTTGTTACAACATGGAAAAGAATGTGATTGCATGGTGTTTTGTTCATTTAGCATGTAAAAATTAGATCTCATGGGCTATGATAGCTCATTAAAAATTAAAAAGAAGCAATAGAAAAATGTCCAGTTTATTAGGACAAAGTCATGGATAAATTTTAAATTTTATTTTTAAAAATTATTTTCCTCAGGATGTGATCATACATCTGCAATTTAAAATTACCTCAGAATGTAATCTCAGGTTTTGGTAATCCTAAAAAGAACACTGTGTCAGAAAATCTCTGTCTCTTTGTGTACAAATTCTGAATTTCTGATCTTTACCGGCATAGACTGAACATACCAAGTTTCAGAGTATGATAGCTGTGGGAGTAAAAGTTTGGGGCCTTGTCATTGCCTTCTGGGACCTGTCACTCCAGGCCCAGTACACTTCTGCTGCTCCCAGGTAGGGTTGCCAGGTGCAATCGTCATGCCGATGGG